CCCGCTAGCTGCTCCAAGGCGCCCCAGCTCCTCCAGACGCTGCCCGGGAACGTGTCCTGGCCTGTCTGCAAAGCCGCCGCCGGACACGGGGCACCTCGGAGCCCTGGGGGGTCACTGCGGGGAGGGGAGAATCCATCACAGCCCAGGGGGGAAGCCGGGCCAGGGTTTCCGAGCAGCTTGACCCCCAGGGGGCGGATCGAGGGTGTGAAACGGACAAGGGATTGGGGGAGGAGGGAACAAGATCTGGAGAGCAGGGGGCGCTAGTGAACTCGGCTGACGCGGTCGGGGGCGGCGTCACTGCAGGGGAGGAACAGAGTTTCCCAGAGGGGGGACGGGCTGGCCTGAAGGACCCCAAACTGCAAGGGGAGGAGGATTTCTGCTGCCAGCAGGGGGGGGAATCCCCACCCCACCCCCCAAAACCCCGTGGAAAAAGCCACCCTCATAGAACCATAGAGTCGGAGGAGACCTCAGAAAGTCATCAAGTCCAGCCCCCTGCCCAAGGCAGGGCCAATCCCAACCCTCGAAGGCACCCGCAGCCGAGCAAGGGGAGCTGAGAATCCACCGGGATGCCCTCGTGTGACCGCAGACAGGGCAGTGGGGACGAAGGGGGAACGGAGGCTCCGTGGGACGAGAAAAGCAGCAGGCAGAGGGGTCTCTGGGGGAACAGTGTGGGGTGGCACCGGGCCGAACAGGGATAAACGAGCTCAGCTGCCCCCATCCTCTCTCTGGTTTGGGGTTCTCTAGCCCAAGCAGGATGCCGATATCAGCTGGGGGGCCCGGGCCACCCGCCCCATCTCTGCCCCGCCGGGGCCGGGACACTTACGAATGTCTTCGAGGTCAAGGTCGTCGTAGAGGAATTCGTTCTCCTCGAAGTCGGGGTCCTGCGAGGAGTCCACGTAATACTCCACGTCGTCCTTGATCTTGCGGATCGAGTCCACCTGGATAGAGTCGTTGTCCAGCATGCGCAGGATGGTCTCCAGCATGCGGATGTCATCTCTGCCCCGCCGGGGCCGGGACACTTACGAATGTCTTCGAGGTCAAGGTCGTCGTAGAGGAATTCGTTCTCCTCGAAGTCGGGGTCCTGCGAGGAGTCCACGTAATACTCCACGTCGTCCTTGATCTTGCGGATCGAGTCCACCTGGATAGAGTCGTTGTCCAGCATGCGCAGGATGGTCTCCAGCATGCGGATGTGGTACCGGTGCTTCTCGATGTGCCGCTTCAGCCCCTCAATCCGGTCCTGCTTCTGCGGGGAGGTGGTGGGGGTGGATGGAAAC